AAGACAGGACCAGTGTGTTTATTTGGTAGTTCAGTGAAAGGCTTCAGTTAGTTAAGAGTGGGAGAAAAAAAACTTTCACGTTTGTAGTTTTATTTTGTTATACAATATTTGAAATAAAACAGACAAACAAACAAAACACTACATTTTTGGAAATGTTTGTGGGCATTTTCTTGTTTGTTTGGGTTTTTTGTACTATTTGAACACTGAAGTAACCCTCACATAAGATGACAGTGCCAGCAGTGGCCCACGGCTCATTTCAGTTTCACACCCCTGCTGTAACATCTTCACCTCCTGTGTCTTGACTTCTTTAGTTTACATTGGTTAAAATGGTTTTTGCTTTTTGTCTTTTGCGGATGCAGAGCCTTGAAATCAGTTTTATTTACAGTTTCAGTTGCAAAGTGAAGAAGCAAAATTAAATTTAAAGTAGTGAATATTATGTAGCACAAAAGGAGTGTTTTAAAGACTTTATGTAATAACTGAACATTTAAAATTTGATCAGTTCCGAGTTGTTTCTTTTAGCAGTTTATCAGATCAGTGCAAATGTACTGTATATGGACAACACAGCATAGACAGCCCCCGTCACGCTCTGTTGCCATAATGAGGCTTTGGTTCACTCTTCAGTTTTGAGTGAGGTTAATTATATTGCTTAATTGGCCTCAGGGCTAAAACACACACACACACTGACACACACACACACGCACACACACACACACATGCAGGAGTAAGGGATTGTGGTAAAATAAGGGTGAATAGTAAAAAGCAGCTATTTATCCCCGCTCCCTCGGGTCTCCTGGGACGCATGCTGGTGGGAACAATGATCGGTTTAACTCCATCCACTGACCTGCACACATCATACACACAGCCTCACACACTCTTCATGTGTGGCTCTTCTGGCTCAAGACACATACACCCACACACACTCATTTTGGGAGTCTTTTGCACGTCAATCTGCATGTTGACCACGTCAGTTGTTCCAGACAGCTATCGGTACTCTTTCTGTTCATGTTTGTAACTCAACAGCTGAGAAAATGAACATACAAAGCAAAGTGTAAAAAACACTCCTGGTGGGTTTTCCCTCTTATAAAAAGTCATTCGTAATTCTTATGCAGATTTCAGAAATGGCACAAAGTAACAGTGGCAGGTTAACTGCCAACATGTTCTCATCACAGAGTTTAAATAGTGCACTCCTGTTAGAAGCTGCTGCTGTCACAGAAACTTTGAAAAAGGTGTCCTTGGCGTCACTGCCGCGAGTCGATATTAAGTCCTGGTTGTGTTCGATACTGCGGTCACTGCTTGCATAAACTATAATGCAAACTCAGCATAAAGATTTAGACTCAAGCTTGAGGTAAGTTTGACTCGCTTTAGTAGTTTCCTGATTGATGGAAGAATTGCAAGACCATTAAATTATCATGAACCTTCTTGTTTTACCAAACAGCAGCATTTAACACCCTGAGAATAAGAATCCAGCCATGTTGGCTTTTAACATGTGCCACAGGTCAAAGCACAGTCTGGGATTTTAATAAGTAAACCTTTGTGGCGGTCTCTTCATTTCTTGGTTTGGTGACGTTTTGGCTTTGACTCCAGCAATGAGAATTTTAACAGAGTTTTGTGTGACTTGGCCGACATTCTTGTTGTCACATCTTCTGTAGGAGTTGTAACTTAAGCTCTGCCAGACATAATATTTCAGGGTGAATTTTAGTTTTGTTGTGTAAAATGAACCTTTTACATTAGCGCTGGTTTTGAATGCAGGATAGAGATCCCAGACTAGCTTTCATAGACTAAAAACATAAGTAAATACAGTTTGTTTTGCACCCCCACCCAAAGTTTCGCCTCTCCTCTCCATCACTTTGTTTTCAAAGATTTCCCTTTCTTCTTCTTACTTGTCTCACGTTCCCACCCTTCCCCTTGCTTTCTAACCCTCCTTCTTTGTTATTTTCTTTCTCTCTTTATTTCTTCTTTTTCTCTTGGACCCTTCCCCCAGTTTTCCCACCTCGGCGCTCCATCGGGAGCACCACAAAGCCTGGTGCTGCCGTAGCAACCACCGCGCCACCGCCTCTGCCCCGGCAACAGGCCGTCGTCAGGGCTGCTGACCCTTGACCCCATCACAGCTGCTTACCCATCGCATATCCCTGGCTCTCTGCTCGCTCCCGTGACCAGGGGGTCACACACTATATCACTTTCACCAAAAAAACAGGACAAGACAAGAGAGGAGAGGAAAGGAGAGACGAGGAGATGAAGCAAGGACACAAGGAGAGAGGAGGTAAGGTGACCAGAAAAAAAAACAGAGAAGAGTGAAGATTAAGAGTCGACATAGAAGGAAAACTAAAAGAATCAAAGATATGAAATTAAATGAAGAAAGCAAAAGATAACAACCTTAATATATGTTAAGTGGAGATAAACGAGGAGCAGAGGAAAAAAGAGATGAGGCAACACGATGAGAGGACAGCAAAAGGAATAAGAGACCATCTTATGGTGGAACACACACCAGCCCTGATGCTAATGCTCTGACTCATCCCACTCCTCTCTCATCACCTTCTATCACCACTCATGTCAGCTACAAATCTGTAAAGTTTCATGACTGCTGTCTTGCAGCGTTGTGATGCTATCATGTTGATATATCTGTCCACATACAGACAGACAGACACAGACACATCTTCGAAAGTACTCTGAACCTCTTTAGATGCTCCTGCTATAGCAAGCAACAGCAGGCCCCTGTTTGCCATTAAGACATTCACCAAAGAACAAAAGCACAAGGTGAAACCAAATGTATCCATTCTGTTGAAGGTTGTAACAAAAAACAAAGATTAGAGAAGACAGAGTGAAGAGAAGACATAAGGCACAGCGGAAGGAAATGAAAAGAGGAGGGGACATATGAGGAATGAAAAGGAAAGAGAAACAAGAAATCCAAGGATCAGGAAGGAAATGAAAAACAGTGAAGTGCTACTCGTGTGTAAATCGACTTTGGGTTTCTTGGCGGTAGACAAAAATAAGTTATATTATTGTTATTATAAAGAGGACTGTAAGAAAAGAATAGGCACAATGACAGGAAAGTGAGATTAGAGATAGGGAAAGAAAAGGATCAAAACTGACGATGAGCAGAAATAAAAGTAGAGAAGAAACCAACAGGAGAGGGGCGATGAAATGAGAACATGAGAAAAAGGAAAGCAGGAGCTGAAAGACTAAGAGGTTTACTTGGGTTAAAGACATAACATTTATGGATCTATCGAGCATTATGTGAAAGTTCAATTTATAAAACATTATAGAAAACAGTTTAATCCTCTAAACTTTCGACTCTTTTTTAACTCTACTGGTTCTACAAAGTGCTTACATTTCTCATTCATATTCATGAGCATGGCACACAAATGGTGACAGATTAGGCATTCACCTTTATGGTACTGAGTTTGTGTCTGTCAGTATTTGTCTGTGCAGAGAGTAATGAACCCACGGTGGTGTGTAGTCCTCCAAAAAACTCAGCGCAGCATGGATGATGCTGTGCGTAGGCTAGATGTTGATTGGTTGAAAAGTGGGCTGGAACAGGAAAAGGGACGACAGGAAAAATTCCCCCAACTGGAAGAAATATGAGAGAGCTGCCCTGCACAGACGACTGATGGAGCCAGGTTCAGCCGGGCACATATAATAACATCATGTGTTTCCAGGACTGAGGATGTGGCTGAAGCAGACTCCATTCCCCTGTGTGCCACACGAGGAAAGAAAACTGGTTACACCTCACACATTTTAGGCCTCTTTTTTCCTTTTTGGCAAAAGTCCACCCTCTGCCATCACATACATGTCACAAAGGACATTTTTAGACTCTCTCTTGAAATGACTCCTGACAGTCAGGAGTTTGGAGGAGAATTAGAGGACAACCCACTTTATCATGTGAGTCATGGTCACCCCATATAAATTTAATATTTAAGCTAAGAAGCATCGTGGTTGTTCTCTGATAACAAATTCGTTTGAACTGTTGTCTTGGACAGTATAAAGATGTTGTGGTTAGCACTGTTGCCTCACAGGAAAAAGGTCTGGGGCCTTTCTGTGTGGAGTCTGCATGTTCTCACCAAGTCTGTGTGGTTTCTCTCCGGGTACTCTGGCTTCCTCCCACAGTCCAAGACATGCATGGAATGAGGTTAATTGGTAATTCTGTTCAGGGTGTACCCTCCCTCTTGCCCTCTGACAGCTGGGATAGGCACAGGCACCCCCACAACTCTGAATTGGATAAGTGGAAGAAGATGGATGGATGGACTACATTAGCAAAGGCTCCTTAACAGAAATGAACCCTGTAAAGCATCTCTGTGGCTCTGCGGACAGCTGCCATGTTGCTTTTGGCTGCTTTTGTTTGGTTTCAGTAGAACTTCTTGTTTGTTTGAGAAGCTCAGAGCTGCACATGGTACAGGAGTCACTGTCACTTTGATTCAAAATGAGTGCAGAGCAGAGGCACAGTTTCATGCCGCTCACCACAGCAACACAGCACAGTGGAAACAGCAAAGAAACCAGCTGAACGTTGAGACTTAAAAGTGGGTAAAAATGAATTTGCTACAGGACTGTGTAGATGTATTTATGTCTGTGTGTGCGTATACATGTTTAGACATCTTTGTGAGGACAGAAAATTGGAATGCTACTATACTTGTGGGGACCAACAGTCACTTGTGAGGACAAAATGCCTGTCCCCACAAGTTTGAAGGCATTTTTCACACTCAAAATGTGGTTTTAGTGTCAGGGTTACAGTTAGGTTGAGGTTAGGTTTAGGCTCAGGGTTAGGATTAGGCATTCATTTTTGATGGTTAGAGAAAGCGGCTAGGGAAAGCATTATGTCAATTAGATGTCCTCACTAAGATATGAAAACAAGTGTGTGTGTGTGTGTGTGTGTGTGTGTGTGTGTGTGTGTGTGTGTACCTTGGTTTTAGGTGCTGTCCTCAGTGTAACCTGAACTGGGCTTTATTAATAAATAATGCATCTGAACCAGTCAGCTCATCAGTCAGCTTTTGCGGCAGGCAGTTCTGGCTTATTCTGCCATTTGCCCTCCAGCGGGACAGAAACAGACGCAGCATCAGAGATTATCTGTCTGTTTTCAGACTCAGGATTCAGTTTCAGGTGTTTCTGTTTTTGTTGCGTCAACTGGGCCGACCTCGTTGATCATGAATCCTGAATAGTAAGTGTTGTTTCTTTCTCTGCGCAGTGCATTACCGAGATGAAATGATCAGCTTGTAATAAAATGACACCTGGTCTTTAACACTGGCTGCTGACATGGAAAGTTAGGAGAAAATTTAAGCATGTGTAACATGCCCGACCCTTGTTTTTAACCTTTGTTTTGTAACTAGAGATCAGACGTATCAGACGTGTGTCAGTCTAAAAAGACATACAAGCCAGTTTTATTGCTGAGGTGTCTAATTTGAGCTTATCAGTAAATTGTAAGTTGTGATGAATTAATGTTTTATGTCCGTCCATAGATTTGCTGCATGTTTCTATCAATTTGTAGAAAAAAAGCAAAAAGAGTAGATAATTGGAGGCATTCAGTTGTAGGTAATCTCCAATGGCTCACTAGGCCTCTGTGGCAGATGGGTATTGTTTAGTGGTGCTCAACAGAACAAAGACAAATTGTAACTTCTCGCAGACAAGAGTGCTACAGAAGAAACCATACACAGAAAGACATTTGATCCCAGGTTCGAGTTTGCGTCTGTGACTTATGTGTCCGAAAACTATGTAATGCAGCAGCTAACCACTTTAGTTTAATGCTACTCATTCAGAAATACAACACAATAATTTGCATCCATCTAGTATTACCAGGCAGCTGCTTTACTGCCAGCTTTGAGAAACAGCAGATGGTTTTGTTTTAATAATATCAACAACCTGGTTCCAGGAGGGCACGGTTTAGCTCCAAATTCTTACATGAAAATAAAACTGAATGGAAAACTGTGTAGTGTGGATGGTTTTATTCACGGTCTATCAAAAAGCTTGCTTCTTATTCATTAATTTGTATCTTTAATGGGTAAAAGTTAGACATTTAAAAAAAGGAGTTTCTTGGTGACGACCACGTTGTTACCTGTGATTACACAAAATGACATTACTGGTGAAACATTGTTTCAGTATCTAAAACTAGTGACTGTGATAAACCATCCCTGATGAGCTAACATCTGTCCAAGGTTCACACTTTCATTTGACTTGTGGTTCAAGCACTTCATGGTGCTTGCACTGAGTGAAAAACTGCAAGTCTTACAAGCAAACAGCACGACTGATTTTGCAACCTTCACACTGTGCACTCGATATTTAGTTCATATGAAAGCAAAAAACAAAAATCTTCCAAATTTAGAGCATAAAACATTCAAAATATCAGATCAACCCTTGATTTTTGTTATAGATGTAATAAAATCTGGTTGCAAGTGTGCCACCCTCTGCATTTCTTAAATTCATGTCAGCATTCAGAGCTGTATTTGATGTGTGTTATTTGCTAGCTGGCTTTCAACATTTAAATTATGCAGCTTTTTATGGCATGACATCATTTACATCTGAGATGGAACCTCTGTAGTGGTTCATTCATGCATGTCTTCCTTTCTTCCCAGTGACTACTTGTTCAAGCTTCTTCTCATCGGTGACTCTGGAGTTGGAAAGTCATGCCTGCTGCTGCGCTTTGCGGTAAGACTGTGCACACGTATGCACACAAAGACACGCTCACCTTCCCTTTTTAACACTTAACTGCTTGCTGCAGGATGACACCTACACTGAAAGCTACATCTCTACCATAGGGGTCGACTTCAAGATCAGGACCATTGACATGGATGGGAAAACTGTCAAGCTACAGATTGTAAGGAAACGGCGAAGCGGTTTTGTGAGGAAACAACATTAAGTTGTTTTTCAAAGCATGAAAGTCTTAAAAAAACGGTGTAATGTTAGCCTCAGTGCTATTTTACGTGTGTGCGTATACTCCTTCAGTGGGACACAGCAGGTCAAGAGAGGTTTCGAACCATCACCTCCAGCTACTACAGAGGCGCTCACGGCATCATCATTGTGTATGATGTCACTGAGCAGGTCAGTGTGTATGTCTTCATCATCATCTAAAAAGAAAAGCATTTGAACATGAACTCCAGACCTCCTGCTGCTTCGCTTTCTCTCTCTCTCCTCAGGAATCCTTTAACAATGTGAAGCAGTGGCTGGATGAAATAGATCGTTACGCCTGTGAAAACGTCTCCAGGCTGCTGGTGGGAAACAAGTCTGACCTCGTTAGTAAGAAAGTGGTGGATGCTGCCACTGCTCAGGTAACAGGCTACGTGCAGCGAAGAGGCTTAACTTCAAATACTTATAAATAACTTCACACCTGTGGTTTTATTAAGCATCATAAAACTAAGTGGAAGCTTAAAATGGGAAATAACATTTATTTTTCTTTCCAAAATAATTGTAGACATGAGCACACTGGTATTTTGACATAATCACATACTGGTATCTCTATCAGAAGGTTTTAGCATCGTGCACAAAGTGTCTGGCTTTGTGCTTAGACACACGTACTGTGGCAGCACTGGAGGCAGGAAGCAAGTAGTCAAGTTAGGAAGATCGACTATCATGCCTAATGTTTCAGTAACACTAAAACTGGATGACAACCTCACTGTGACTGTGTGGAGATTTTTCACATTCAGCGAATGATTGCAAACAGTTGCTGCGACCAGATGTTTGGCACTCAACCTCTAATCACTCAACCTGCAATCACTCTCAGGCAGATTGTTGAAGGTTAGCAAAAAATTACCACCTCATTTATAAATGCAAACAGGTTACTAACACGCTGAAGTCCCTCTGACTGAGTCTGCACCAATGAGCACAATTCATCTGGGATAACTCAGCTGGTTTCAAACTGGGTATTTTCTGGGTATACTTCTATCTAAAAGTGGGACTGCCTAGCACCTAAGTCATTTGGAGTTCGATTGCGGTGCCGCAGTAACTGTCATACAATCTAGGGAGGAATTCTTGAGACTCCTTTCTTAATCTTGGTGTCGCAGTAGAGGTAGAGCAGGTCATCTGCTAATCAGAAGATTGGTCCCAAAGATATTTGGCATGCTCCAGTTTGCATGCCAAATATCTACGGGCAAGGTATTACCTCTGATGGAGTCTCTCCGATGCATCCAATGGAGTATAAATGTGTGTAGATAGAAAGCGTTAACTTTGGAAAAAATGCTTGTATGAATGAAGCAAGTTGTATAAAGTGTGCACAGTTAGAGTAGGAAAGCTCTTTATAAGAACCAGTCCATTTATCAGATCTATGAGGTTCAGACTCAACTTTCAGTTTAAGTAGGTAATTTGTTAATCTGTCCATGTACAGCAACAGATTAGTGATTTTCACTAATTTATCACATGTAATCACCATATTATTACAAACATATTGCATATGTTTGCCACCGTAACCTCGTTCAATTACAAACTGATACAGACTGGCCCTCTCTTACTGACTCTAAGGACTCTAAAGAGTCGATTTGAGGGGAGCAACTAACTATGAGTCTCTCAGGGAGACTTCAGCGTGTTAGTAACCTGTTCCAAATCTAGACTTGGACTATGAAGCAACCATTTGAAAGGATAGGAGATTGCAAGCTCATATATTTAAAAGTAGCATTGGAGGCAGAGCCTTCAGCGTTCAGGCCCATCTTCTGTGTAACCAGCTCCCAGTTTGGATTTGGGAAACAGAAATCTTCTCTACTTTCAGGATTAAGTTTAAAACTTTCCTTTTTCATCAAGTAGTTAGGGCTGGATCAGGTGACCCTGAATCCTCCCTTAGTTACACTTAATAGGTCATGCTGCCGGAGGTTTCCCATGATGCACTCGGTGTTTCTTCTTCACTGTGTTTACACATCACTCTGCATTTAATCATTAGTTATTATTAATCTCTGGCTTTGTCTTTTGTCCCGTCTTCATCCCCACACCCTCAGGTGTGCCAGAGGTTGCTTCTTGTTAAAAGGAAGTTTGTCCTTCATCCCTACGGTCTTTACCTTACAATAAAAAGCACCTTGAGGAGACTTTAATGCTGTTGTGATTTGGATTGAATTAGTAGTCAGGTCATTGACAGGGGCTTCTTCGGACCAGTGGGCATCTTGTACATGCACCAGGAGCTTTGACAAACCGGCAGTATTTGAATGAAAACAGGCTCAGTGTTCTCAGTGCCAAATCTGGCCAGGCGTTCATCGACTTTGTAGCTTTCATGTCTAAATTCCTTTGAAAAGTACCAGATGTAAACTTGTGAACTAACTACAATATTTAAATGTTGACTCATCAATAATTCAAAAGTCTGATTAGGGTTCTTTTTCAGAATGACTACTCAGTTCACTCTTAATCCAGGAGTACAAATTACATGTAATACTTTACCCTGGAATCGAATTTTAGAATTACAGTTGTTGCATTAAATGCTTTTAAACTGTGGTGTTTACACACTTGCTGCTTTTAATAAGACTTGACCCCATCCACAGGACCTGGCTTCGTCCCTGAAGATCCCGTGTTTGGAGACTAGTGCGAAAAGCTCTGATAATGTGGAGAGGGCGTTCCTTACCATGGCCTCTGAGATCCACAAACGTCTGGCCAGTGAAGGAGGGGGCATGGAGGGCGAGTCAGCAGAGGCCAGGACCGCCAAGATCAACAGCGCCCCCCTGTGGCTGGGAGGGGAAAAACAGACGCAGGAGGCCAATAACTGCTGCTGAGGTGGAAACATAAGCACAAATATTTATTACTTGATGAGACAGATGTGTCATTTGAAAAAGACCCAGCTGTCTGGTTTAAGGACTCATTAACTCTGTGTTACAGGCACACATATCGGCATATTTTTGACATTTATGACTTTGGAAGAAAAACACATTTTTGACTTGACTATGATATATTTTTGAGCTTGGTACTTTTGAATGAGATAGAGGTTGACTTTTTTTCCTTTTACAATTATGTTCATTTATTTTAAAAAATGAGAAATGGAAGTAAAACTAAATAAAAAGAAAACTATAGCACATTATAATAAACTAGGACCAAACATGCAGAAATCAGAGCACTCAGCCAAAGGAACAAACAGGGTGGGGTCTATTCAAGTGTAGACGACATGATTTGGAAATACAGAGAGGACCGCTCTCGTGAATAGCAATAGTTGAATGTTAATTAGCAGCCACGCAGTCTTTAATTATCTGATATAAGCAACCTGACTATATGATTTAAGTTTCTATCAATGCCTCAGACTTATTAACCAGTTCCTGTTGTGTTTTGCTTGGTGTTTGTTTATGTCAATAAAGATATCTGAAGTTGGTCTTTTTTGCTGAAAATATAAAGAGATACTGAAATTCTTAAGATGATATTAAAAGAAAGCCTGATCCTGATCTGCGTGATTAAATCCAATCCAATCCAATCCAATTTTATTTATAAAGCACTTTAAAATACCCAGCACAGGAACAAAGTGCTGTACAGAAAGTAAGTTAAACAGCAAATTAAATAAATAAATCACATAAGACATAAAATTAAAATTAAAATTAAAACAGCCCTATGTTAAAACAAAACAAGATAAAACAGCATCGAGTCACCTAAAAACAACTAAAATAAAATAAAAATAAATATAAAAACCAACATCTCACGTGGTGTCAAAGGCCAAAGTAAAGAGGTGGGTTTTCAAGAGTGACTTAAAAACAGGTAAAGAAGTGGCCTGTCTAATCTCTAAAGGAAGCTCATTCCACAGTGATTAAAGTTAGAAGATGATTGTTTCATGGTTTAAATGAGCTAATCTTGGTGGTTTGACTGAGACAGGAGATAAACCACTGAACATGAAAATGCACAAATATCATTAACATCCTTTTTTTCTCCCCTCAAATTTTTAAAAGTCAGCTTCCATTCAAGTTGCATTGTGTGATGTTTGCCAGTTTTTGGGTCAAGACTTCTTAATTTGGAACTCTCAGATCCAAATACAGACATGGAGGTCTGGACAATAAGGAAAAGTCTGTAAATTCAGAATAGCAGTGAGTTGATTATCAGGTTTTATTTTTCTCACAATCTGTCACACTTGTTGTTTTTCGAACTTTCAAACATGCAGAAGTGTCTGGGAGCCGCTGATTTTATGTAAAATGTTCATATGGTAAATGCTAACTCATCTGGCATTTGACTTACTAGATTATTAAATGTTTTAAAACCTAAAAGATTCTTGAGGAACTTTAACTCACTATCTAAAATCTGAAAATCACTGGACATCCTCAGGAGATATTGGCCTGACAAATATCCCTTTGTGATGTGAAGGGATTTCTCATGAAGGCCAGGCAACCTTAAATATGTCATATTAGTGTCATTTCAACATGAATTAATTTCCTCTCTTTGCTGTGACAACAGTATTATCGCAGTGTAACAATGACTCACTGAAGGCCGACTTCTTTGTAATCAACTGGACGTTGTTTTAGCAACAAGAAGCTTATGAAAGCAGCTGAGAGACTGAGAACTCAGCAACTTCAGCTACTCAAATACAATTTAAATAAACTTTGTTCTTGAAATGTAAAACAGATGGGAAATAAGACCATATTTTAAATGTGTGAGCTTCGTCTACACTGTATGGTACTGAGTACCTACACCTACCTACCTAGCTACCTACACATTATGCCTACAGTGTGAGCCTTATAATGAACACCAGCTCCCTGTGCACAGTTTGCGTGCTGATATTAATGCTGGAGAAGGTTTAAAACTCAAGCATTTAGCACAGTTTACACATCAGCACTTAGCGACCCCACTTTGTAGCCTTGCATGATCTGTCACTTTGTGGCTAACTTCCACTTTGAACTAATATCACTTACTGTCGATGGAGATCAGCACTCTCGAGTCAGTGAAATTCATCCTTCTACATTGTTTATGAAAGCAGACTGCATGGCTAGGTGCTGGATTTTATACCCCTGATACAATGAGACAAGAAAATGCTGAATTCAAAGTTTAAGGAATGTGGACCGACACTTTTGTGAATATGGTGTGCAAGATGAAGACATGGGAGAGACAAAGGGACATTGTGGGATTTCAAAACAGCAACAAAAAGTCAGTCCTCTATCTTCCCAATTAAAAATGTCAAAGTGTTTCAAAGATTAGTTCCTTTAAGAACAAATTTCTTATGTGAAAATTAGTTTGAGAAATTTGGTCAAGCTGCATAAAACAATCTGTGTGCAGACAGAGCATCATAGCCGTACAAATGTTAGGGAGAATATACAAAAATACTCTGGAGTAGAGGAGGATACACAACAATAATGAAACCATAGTGACTACACAGCTGATATACAAACACATGCGCCAGTCCGATCCTTTCCCTACAGTCAGCAGTGAGTTCTGCACTGTCCTCAGGTTTGATATGAGGATTTAAAAGCAGTTTATTTTATGAAAAACTACAAAAACTACAACAGCTGGACTGCCTCAGACAGGCAAATGGAAACAGGATGAGGGGGCAGGACAGAAACTGGTAAGCAGTTATTTTTCCTTCCACTAGATGTCAGTGTTGCTCTGTATTTGTTTCCTACAGAGGTTGACAGCGTCAGTCTCATTCATGATCTCTTATGTTTTATGTGGCCCCCCCCCCCCCTCCCCTCCCCTGCATCTCTCCCTACCTCTGAGTGTCTCTTTCATCTTTACATCTTTCACTCCCACATGTCTAACCATAGCCTACCTCTGTTCCTCCACCCCATCCTCATCCCCGGCCTCTTGCTGCTTTTCCATCATTTCATATTCTTTTTCTTTTTTGTTTTCCCCTCTCCCTCTTACTTCTCTCTTGCCCCACTTGTCTACACCCTTAATGGACCTCTCATTTTATATCTTTCTCCCATTCTCTTTTGCCCTTCTGCCACGCATGAATGTTCCAAAATGAATCTGATTGCAGAGATCTACAGCTCAGGTGGGGGAATCTGTCCATAGGACAACTATTAGTCGTGCACTGCACAAAGTTGGCCTTTATGGAAGAGTGGCAAGAAGAAAGCCATTGTTAACAGAAAACCATAAGAAGTCCCGTTTGCAGTTTGCCACAAGCCATGTGGGGGACACAGCAAACATGTGGAAGAAGCTGCTCTGGTCAGATGAGACCAAAATGGAACTTTTTGGCCAAAATGCAAAACGCTGCACATCACTCTGAACACACCATCCCCACTGTCAAATATGGTGGTGGCAGCATCATGCTCTGGGGGTGCTTCTCTTCAGCAGGGACAGGGAAGCTGGTCAGAGTTGATGGGAAGATGGATGGAGCCAAATACAGGGCAATCTTGGAAGAAAACCTCTTGGAGTCTGCAAAAGACTTGAGACTGGGGCGGAGGTTCACCTTCCAGCAGGACAACGACCCTAAACATAAAGCCAGGGCAACAATGGAATGGTTTAAAACAAAACATATCCATGTGTTAGAATGGCCCAGTCAAAGTCCAGATCTAAATCCAATCGAGAATCTGTGGCAAGATCTGAAAACTGCTGTTCACAAACGCTGTCCATCTAATCTGACTGAGCTGGAGCTGTTTTGCAGATTTCAGTCTGTAGATGTGCAAAGCTGGTAGAGACAGACCCTAAAAGACTGGCAGCACCCAACAACATAGCACCCAACAATCTGTGGGATATAAATATTTCTAACACTAATAACTTGACAGTTAAAAAACTAAATTGCTGAAGGGCATGCCGGGAGGTGCTGTGTATTCAAGAATAGTGAAGTCAAATGATGAACAGAGGAACAGGAGAGCAGTGTCTGATGTATTGAATGATTTTCGTTTGTTTTTTGATATGCTGAACTGCAGATCAGCTCAGGTAGCCCCGCCCACACACAGTGACAGGAAACTAGGTGAGACAAAGAGCATGTTAGAAAAGGCTCGTTTATTTTAGCCTGCATTTTAAACTGTGCTCTGCTGTTTAAACAGCTGCTCTGAAAAACGATTTCAGCGCTTAACAGAGCCCGTGAATAGATTCTTGTTCTATTGTTGTGTGGCTTTATCATCTTTATTTTTTCAATGATGTAATTCAAATGTTCAGCATTTTATATACACTTACTCTTCTACTAATAGAATGATGACCTATATAAAGACTCATTTATGCATTTATAACTTATTTATGTATAATAACAATGACAACAACGGTATAAACTGTAAAACTGCCAGGTTCTTTAAAAAGCATCCATCCATCCATCCATCCATCCATTCGCTACCGCTTATCCTTTTCAGGGTCGCGGGGGGTGCTGGAGCCTATCCCAGCTGTCATAGGGCGAGAGGCGGGGTACATCCTGGACAGGTCGCCAGTCTGTCGCAGGGCTAACACATAGGGACAGACAACCATTCACACTCAGATTCACTCGCACATTCACACCTAGTGGCAATTTGGATTATCCAATTAACCTATCCCCACAAGCTGCATGTCTTTGGACGGTGGGAGGAAGCCGGAGTACCCGGAGGGAACCCACGCAAACACGGGGAGAACATGCAAACTCCACACAGAAAGACCCCGGCCTGATGGTGGAATTGAACTCAGGACCTTCTTGCTGTGCGGCAACAGTGCTAACCACCGTGCCACCGTGCTGCCCTCTTTAAAAAGCATGAAATATAAATATGAATAAAGATTAAAATACTAATTATAGTTAGAACCCTCAACACTTATAAGGGGTAGCTTTTAACCCGTTCACACATAGTAGTCACTACAGTGGATATTCAAAGGCTGTTTTCTTGTATTTGTGTCAGTGTTGTTGGTATACTTGCACATAAACCAGTACACTGGACACTGATGTGTCCAGTGTAGTGTCCTGCCATACCCTGCCACCCACTGGTTGTTTAATGTTACTACAGATGTATGACGTGTTTCATGAATGAATTATGACAACTTCAATAAGGATTTTTTTCTTAAGGATTTTTATTTATCTTTTCATGCCTAAAGATGAATAAAAATACTTCCTGATTGAGGTTGTCATAATTCATGTTTGACAGGTTTAAGGAATTAAATTAAAGTTTTACTTTTTTGTTTTAGTGTTTACACTAAAGATTACACCAAAAAGATCCAGTTTAAAAACCATCATAAAAGCAACCTCTGATATGTAAAACTACTATGTGAGAGGATTAATTTTAGCCTTTGTTAGCAAAGCGTTCATGAAAAAGTCTACTCCAGTAACATTTTGTACTTCTGCCACCTCCAGCACACAAAATACTTTTTCTTATCAAACTCTTTGTGCTCAGTCCAGCTTAGACTGACGCTGAAGATGTAGTTTCATGTCTGCTGTACCACCTGCAGTCTGTGTCACGAAATAAGATCAGCAGGTTACCTGGCTGTCTTCTGCATTGAGTT